TAAGGGCTTTAACTTTAAGTTTTCTAAAAGGACTACTCCTACATTGTATTAGGGCGGATCTTTTTAAAAATCGAACCTTTAGGTTACGAAAAGAACTAAAACGCAAAAAATGGTACAACATAGAATTATAAGAGCTATAGCTTCGACATTTTTCAATACATTTTTTCAAAATGTGTCCTTTAAAGTTAGAGAAAACGTACAGAATGACATATTCAGGGGCGATAGGAGCTGGCATTGTGATATTTTGCGTGTGCCTCACGAGATTTTCGGAAATTCGTATTTTATGCCTATGAGAAGTACAAAATCGCTCAACATTTTTATTTACTGATAAATAAAGGATAAACTTCGAGGGTCACTTCTGTATGAGATTATAGTAGCCTTTTTTCGAAATTCGTGCTTTAAGGGTGGATAAAGTTCTAAAACGTACAAAGTCATTGAACTGTCAGGTTATATCCTATCAGTTGTTTTGGAAATTGGTACTTTAAATGTGTGTAAAGTACTAAAAAGTGCGAAATGGGACATTTTAATGATTTTTTTATAATGTATCGATAATACACAGCTTAAATATTTAATTTTTTTCTAGAGTAACTTGTGTATGTTATCGCTTTTTTTCGAAATTTTTACGTTAAATGTAGGAGAAGTAATACATAACATTGACGTTTTTCAAGAGGATTTCTTTTGGGTGAGATAGGACGCAGCTTAATTTGAGATTTGTACTTAAAGGTACGCTAAGTGCAAAAGGTTACAAAATGACACGATACAGGTACTGAGCGATAGGTAAGAGCTAAAATGGTAATATACACCTCATTCACTCTATGTGTGGAAGGATTACATTTTGGCCGTTCGTACTTCTTTATTACGACTAGTTCAACTTGCATCAAAATTATTTTTGAGTCAAAAATACTAAAAAGTTGAAATTTTTACAATGATCACCACTCAGTGGGGGAGACAGCAAAATCTAATGATCCTTTCTCCTTTTGTGCAGTAAAATAGTTTTTTTTTTTGAAAATTTCGACTTTTTATGAGGGAGGTACCAGAAGGAATGGACCGATATTGTCCAAGTTTGATAATAATATTACGATGTACTGAGTTTGGACCCAATCGGATATTCCCTTCGAGATTTATCGTGCGCACCGTCATGCCCATCTCCGAACTCGATCTAAGTTTGACCATAACATTACAATGTACCAAGCTTGGACCAAATCGGATACTCCCTTTGAGAGTGTAATACAAAGTGGGAATTTCAGAAATTTATACTTAAACAAGTAAAAAAGCAGTAAGTTCGGCCGGGCCGAACTTTCAATACCCTCCACCATTTGGAACGAATTAGAAAATTTTCAAAAAAATAAAATCCAATAAAAATTCTTTTAAAATCTTTAAAATATCTAATATAGGAAGGTGCCGATAAATGGGGGGATATACGATATTGTGGACCTATAAAGACAAATCTATGTCTGCGTGTAAAGTACTCACAAGGAACTCCGTGTGTGGATTTTCAGACAATACGATTGGAAAATGTGGCTAAAATCATCAAAATACCGTTACATGGGGGCTATACGATATCGTGGACCTATATAGACAATTCTCTGCCGAGGTATAAAGTACCCACAAGGAACTCCTTGTGTGGATTTTCAGACAATTCCGTTGAAAAATGTGGGTAAAATCATCAAAATACCGAATATCGGGGGGTACCGTTATATGGGACCAATACGATATCGTGGACCGATATAGCCCATCTTCGAACTGCCTGCAGACAAAAGAGAGATCTGTGCAAAATTTTAGCTTCCTATCTTAATTCGTTTAGACTGTAGCGTGATTACAACAGACGGACGGACAGGTCTAAATCGTCTTAGAATTTTACGCTGATCAAGAATATATATACTTTGTTGGGTCTAAAATGATTATTTCGATGAGATACAAACGGAATGACGAACTTAATATACCCTCCATACCTTTTTTGGTGGAGGGTATAAAAATAGGAAAAGTTTTTAAACGTACAAAATAGTACAACATAGTTAATCGATCGAATAGAACTTTAGCTTTAAATTTATTATTGAGGATTTTATATCTTTTTCGAAATTCGATTTTTAAGGGTGTGTTTTTTTATGGGATAAGTTTTTGCGATGAGGAGTAACATACCGTGAGAGGTCATGTACATGATGCTTAGGAAAGGTACTACATGCAATTTTATGAGGCTTTTATGAGAACTATGCAATTTTTATGAGGCTCACTCTCAGCGCGAATGTGTAACACAAGATTGAATTTTTGGAGATTCGTACTGTAAAAGAACGAATAGTATTTAGAGGTACTAAATGGTACAATATATATTGAGCAATTAATAAGAGTAATGACTTTGACACAAGGGTCACTCTCATCATAAGGCGATTGTTGTTATTACGAACTTGGCATTTTTCGAGAGCCACTATCTCTTTGATTAGATAAGGCTGGATTTTTCGAAATTCGTATTTAAAATTACGAAAATTTCCAAATGCTATAGCTTTCTTATTAAGAAATTAATAACAGTTAGAACTTCGAAATTTTACATGGAGTCACACTTGATAATGTGAGATGGGATAGGGGATACTCTTGGAAACTCGACCTTTAAGTGTACGAAAATGTAACGCATTGTTCATTAGAGGGCAGTAAGAGCTATAACTTCGAAATGTTTGAGCAATGGATTGGTAAAAGGTGGGGAATATATTTATAATGCGCCGGACGGTATAAAAATCTAAAACAGATACAAAGTTTTACCATATTGTTATTAAGAAGCAGCAAGAGGGCGGGATAATGGATAATACTTTTATGGATACTTAAAAGGTACATTTCTTATTAAGCGATCCATCATTGAAAGTAGAACCTTGAGATCTTGAAAGTTGGCCAGACTTTAGGCAATACAAAAAACGGTTACGAAAAATGTACTAAAACGTCATAAATGCCATTGACATTCAATAAAAGTAGAACTTTAAAATCTTGTCAGACTTGAATGATAAAGACGGGTCTTTTGGAAACGTACAGGATGAAATAAAAAAATACTGCAGCAAAGTCAAACGCAATAATATTTACATTTTTTTAATTTTATTGAATGAAATCAAAAAAAATGAAATATTATCAAATTTTAAAATAAGTTTTTTTTTAATAGAACAGTGTGGCTTGTTTGTTCGGGATACCGTAGTATTTTGTTGTTGCAAAATGGTCAGGCTTTATCCCTTTATTGTTGTTTTTATAAAAACAACGTTTGTTTATTAGTGGAGAACGATGGTAATGTTTACCTGGGGGTAAGGCAGGGAATACCTAGGTTTCGGAAAGAGCCACCAATCCTCATCAGATCCGTTGTTTTTTTTGTTTGGGATATTCTCCCCAGAAGTTATTTTAGAAATAACTTCTATGACAAAAAACATTTTTTACCCAAGTGACGAGATTGTTTTTTTTTTTAATAATTTTAAATTGGTCACCTTTGGCCCGAATTATGGCTCGAAAAATGGCTCGTGAGCTGAATATATCGGAATTCGGCAAATATTGAAAAATTAGCTCGGGGTAAAGTCATTGAGATTCCAAAAAGTGCAAGAACTTACACCGCAACACAAAGAAAATAGCCGCAAAAGAGGTAAAGAGTTGCTTCGCTTGGCCGAAAGTGGTGAAGTGCCGAATTCGGTTTTCTCCGTTGAGAAAACACTCGTTGTGTAGCAGTTTGTAAACAAACAAAAAAATCGTGTTTACTTGCCAAAGAGGTCAGCCGAAAATGTGCACCTTTGGTTGGCCATCAGAATTCAAGCGCCGGCCATGGTGATGGTGTGAACAGCCATAACAGCCGATGGTCGCTCTCCGCTCATATTAATCGATCGTGGCATTAATATAAATGTCGAATATTATCGCGAAAATATTCTGGAGGGTGTATTAAAGCCTTGGGCACGCAGACATTTTGGCCGCAGACTTTGGACGTTCCAACTGGACTCAGCACCATCACACTCAGCACGCACCACCCAAGAATGGTTACAAAATGAGGTTCCTCGCTTCAATTCCATCGCACAATGGCTACCAAAATCTCCGGATACCAATCCGTTGGACTATTGTGTCTGGAGTATTTTGGAAAGCAGGGTTGGCAATAAAAACTATCTCAAGCTAGCGCTTTGCCGGGAATGGGCCAAAATACCGCAGAGCAACATTCGCAACGTGTGACGGTTTCGTTGGCCGTTTGAAGGCCACGACGCGGGTATCGATCAGGTCGCTTCATTACTTTTCGGATCATTTCTGCTGATGTTGCTGTTTTCTTCCGTTCCCCTTCATTGATGTCGGAGTTAATATAATTTTGAAATGGTTTTGAGAATTCTTATTACAAGTGTAGGAACAGGAATATTGATTTGTTGGATCAAAACTAAATTACCATTTTTTGGAAAATTTAAGGAAGAAGTGCCGAATGTGGAAATTTTGGTACAAAAAAGTGACGACATGGGTCATATGTGTATATGGCTTGTGGAGTTTAAAGCGGATAATTAAGTATGTGATTTACATTAGAAATGTAAACTCAGATTTTTTTTTTTTTTGAATTCGGTAAACATTCTCACTTCTAGTTATTTACACTTTCCGGGAACTTGCTATGCTATTATAAAATCATCTCTAGACTATTTTGTTACTTTCTTAATTATATTTAACGTTTTTTCGGCTTCTTCTCTTTACATTTACTTAGAGGGCATTCCTTTTAATTGTTCCCTTTTTTCCTTCATTACCAATCTCTTTAAAGTTTCCAAATGAAATTATTATGTGGACTGTAGAAACACTTAGTATTTACTTATTTTTCAACTTGTTTCAAAATTATTTTAAACTTCCTCGTTTTAGCGACTCATAAATAAGTAAGCCGTAAAGAGCAGAAAAAGCTGAAAACTATTTTCTTCGTTTGACGAGAAAAGGAGGCAAACAACCGAAAGTGTCTGTTTGCTTGCTTGGTTAGTTGGTTGTAAAAGTTTGTCGGTTTTCTTTTTAAATGCTGCATTTCAAAAGCTTACCCAAGGACACCACCAGCCAAAACTTCAGCCTGAGCGGAGAGTGTTTCTGCAATAGATTCATCGCTATAAATGCCAACTGGGGTATTGTATTGTTTATTGACAATGCTCTTAACGTTGCCATCGACGGTGTTGCCCTGCAAAGAAGAAGAGGGAGAAGTGAGAAAACGGACATAGAAAAACATATTAAAAAAATTGTAAATCCAAAATATCAACAAAACAATAAATGAAGAGAGTTCAACTACTGTGTGCTGGAGGGATATCATCCATAAATTGCAGCTGAAAATAGAAAGTACTTCACAAAAGCAAAAAAAAAACGAAAAGCAACTAACTTTGTAAACTTCTAAGTAAGGGTGTTACAGTGGTGATTGGGTTTATATGGACTGGAAAATGTAGATCTGTAAAGATTATAACCTTCTTCAAAGAAGTGAAACTCACTCGAAAAAAAAAATCGCTCGAATAGGAGTGATAATATTTTCCTCGTTTTGGATGGGAGCAAAAATATTTAAATATCTAGCAGATTCTATAAGAGTTTTTGTCATACCTTTGTTACATTTCTATGTATTTGTATTTCTTCTGCACAAGATCCGATTCCGAACTCTTCTGTGGTACACTACACCATCAAAACTCGTTTACTATTACGCACACACATTACGCAAACACAGATAAGGAAACAAAATATTTTTTACACTTATTTACATTATTAGATCAAATTCTTGCCCTATTTTGAGCGATTCTGCTCCCACTCCATTTTTATACCCTCCAACTTGGAAAGGAGGGTATATTAACTTTGTCATTCCATTTGTAACATCCTTAAATATTCGTCGTAGACCACATAAAGTATATATATTCATAATCAGCATAAAATTCTAAGCCGATTTAACGATGTCCGTCTGTCTATTTGTCCGTCCGTCTGTTGAAATCACGATACAGCAAACATTATTTGACGTAGAGCGTCAAAATTTAGTAGAGCAATTTGTATTGTGTCTAGGACGGTTGGTATTAAAAATGAGATGTATCAGTCCACGTTTTGGTATAGTCCCCATATAAAGGTACCTCCCGATATTTAGTATTTTGATTATTTTTGCCACATTTTTTCACGGATTTGTCTAAAAGTTGTTATTTGTTGGTCACAATCGGTTTCAGCTCCGTTGGCGAAACATTGCATACCGATATTCGGTATTTTGATTTTTTCAATCATTTGTCTAAAAATTGGTATTTGTAGGTCATAATGGGTCCTAGATCGTGTTGCGAAACATTGTATGTTTGATCCACGTTTTGGTATAGTCCCCATATAACGGTACCCACGGATATTCGGTATTTTGATGGTTTATGCCACATTTTTTTCAATGATTTGTCTAAAAATTGGTATTTGTAGGTGATAATGGGTTCTAGCTCTTTTGGCGAAACACTCTATGTAAAGGTCCACGTTTTTGTATAGCCCCATATAGCCTTATTTCCCGATATTCGGCATTTTGATGATTTTTGGCACATTTTCCCACGAATTTGTCTAAAAGTTGGTATATGTGGGTCATAATGGGATCTAATGTTTCCTTTTCCCTAATGGAGGGTATTAAAAGTTAGGCCCGGCCGAACTTAATGTTTTTTTACTTGTTTTCAAATTAGAGTGCTTCGGGAGATTTTCGGGAGTGCTCCCACACAAGACAAAAGAGTGAAGAGTAGACTCCGTAATAAACTTACCCTTGTCAAATTTCGCTCCTAAGAGAAAATAAACAAATCTATGCTATGCTTAAAATGGGTGGTTGGTATTAAGTTAGTCATTCTGTTTATAACACTTCGATATGTTACCTTAAAACAACATAAATTATAAAAACAACTAATTTTTGTGGAGCTTAGAGATTTGATATTATAGTACGTACTATTTCTAGGATATCGGAAATCGATCCACGAATACCTATTCATATCTCCCATGCAAAAGTACTTCTCTATTTTTCCACTTTTGCAGGGATAGGACTAATTCCTACCGAATTCTTTATATTGAGACATTTTGGTTTTTCAGTGGAAAGGATTCCTCTTTACAAAACGTTTTCAATATAAAAAGACTAAAGTTAGTAACCCCCACAAAACATAATTTTGTAATTTTAAGTATTTTTCGGATTGCAGATGCATTTTTCAACCATATTAGTTGTAATATGGACATTTCAGATCTTCGAATATGTTAACCCTTTCGATAGAAAACTTTCAGTTTCGACTCACCATTTTTGTATTTCTAAGATTTTAGCCACAAAATTCTGGTTGAAGGTATTTTTATATATCATCTGTCATATGGCAGAGGGTATATAACGGTTTTAGACTCAGGGTCTCTTTGGACCAAATCAGTTTCATGATATTTGGAATCGATCTGGCGATGTCCTTCCGTCTTTTTGTCTGGCTGGCTGGTGCGCATGAAAACTCGAAGAGAGTATTCGATTTGGTCTAAGCTTGTTACATCGAAATATTATTATAAAAAATATAGGTCCACTTCATCTGGTACCTCCGCCACAAAGGATCAACAACTTTGCAAATCTTAGTATTTGCATCAGTGCTAGGTCAGGTGCGAAAATGATGGTCCACTCCATCAAGTACCTCCTCACAAAGGATCAACATTCTGAATAATTATAACTTTTATAAAATATGATGTAAGTGTCCGATTATCTTGAAATTACACACATAACAATATTTTTATAAGCCCAAGGTCTGGTGTGAAGATGGAGTATATCGGTCCACTCCATCAAGTACCTCCCCCACAAAGGGTCAACATTATAAATATCTAAAAAGCTCATAAAACGTGAAGTTAACATCCCATTGCATTCAGACTTAGTACATCTCAACATTTTCATCAACACAAGATCTGTTATAAAGATGGTAGAGATTGGACCATTTCTTCTCGTACCTTCCGCACAAAGGGTCAAAGTTTTGAATAACCAAAACGATTATAAAATCGGAATAAGCATCCGAAATATTCACCCATCTCTTCACACATCCCGTAATTTTTATAAACAGATCTTGATCTGGTGTAAAAATGGGATGTAACGGACCACTCTGTCTGGTACATCCCCCGCAAAGGGACAACATTTTGAATAGACATGAAGCTCATAAAACGCAAAATTAAGATCCGATTCCACTCAGATTTGTTATATCTCAATATTTTCATCAACACAATATCAGTCATAAAGATGGTAGAAATCAGACCAATTCTTCCGGTACTTTCCCCACATAGGGTTCATGTTATTGAATATCCATTAAGCTCAAAGAAAGCGAAAAAAGCATCCAACTCTATTCAAATTTTACGCAGACAGAAACCTTATGCCAACACAAGATCTGTTGTGAATAGATATATATCTGCGAACCCCTTCTGGTACCTCACCCACAAATGGTCACAATTTTCAATACTTTTATCTGTCGTAAATGGCGAAACAAATCAGGGATTCTTTACAACTTGCTAAATCTAAAATATTTCCCAACCAAAAACCTGAAATGAATATGAAATTTATGATTTCGCATAAAATTTGGATATAACTGTTCGATTTTTTTGTATTTTTGCCCGTAAAAATATTTTTATCTGTATTATATGAGGTAAAAAAAAAATGGAATACTTCGATCGCACATTTGAAAATATTATAAAAATTGTCACATTTCTCATATAAAGTGAGGGAAGCAACCGATATAGTCCAAACCTGACACGTCGCAATATTTATATCAAACTTAATTAGGTCCGATCCGAAATGTACAACATTGACCCAAACCTAGAGGGTCCACAATTTGAATAATCGGAACAGAAGTCAAAATATATTTAAATAATTGAACGTTGGCTGAGGGTATACATCTGTTGGCAAAACCAACTGATACTTTTTAACTTGTTTTTAACAATTTCGGTCATCAGTCGATAGCAACTTAATTTGTGTGTATGTACCTTTAGGCATGAACCCAATCTTGTTGTGCCGATACTAGCCGAAGTGTCTGTCATTTGACATTTTTATACCCTCCACCATTCTATGGAGGGTTTAACTTTTTGAAATACTCATATCAGACCCAACAAAGTATATATATTCTTGATCAGCGTAAAATTCTAAGTCGATTTAGCGATGTCCGTCTGTCTGATTTTACCGACATTATTCACCGGAATTGTTTTAAATTTGGAATTTGAAGTTCGTAATGATACTACAGCTTATGACAGAAAATTGTCTGTGCAGGTCCATGTCTCCGTATAACCCCCTATATGCGATACCTCCGAATATTAGGTATTTTGATGATTTTTAGCGTCATTATTCACCGAAGTAGTTTCAAATTACGCATTTAGAGTTCGTAATGAGAACTACAGTCTGTGACACAAATTTTTTATGCCCCATATATCAGTACCTCTCTATATTCGGTATTTTGACGATTTTAACAGATTTTTTTTTTAAATTTCCTAATTCGTTTCAAATGGTGGATTAAAAGTTCAGCCCGTTTATAATATGGTAATGGCTTATAACGAACAATGCCTATGAAGGTCCAGGTCGTATAGATCCCAATATAATGGCTATATTCGGTATTTTTAAGATTTTAGCAGATTTTGTAACGGATTTTATTTTTTGAAAATTTCCAAATTTGTTCCAAATGGTGGAGGGTATTCAAAGTTACTGGTTTTTAACTTGTTCAATAATTACTCAGTATAATCAAAGACATAAAACTGTAAAGATTGGAAAAAATGCATATTGCCCTTTGTAGCCACATAGGTAATAGATGCCCGACGACATGCAATAAATATTGGAAATTTTGCAGAAATACGTTATAACGAAATCGCCGAAAAATGGCGGCGAATATGATATACGTACTCTCAATAATCTATTCCATATCAAAAACCCAATAAAAGTGTCAGATCTTTCAAATTATAACATAATGCTGTTACATGGTGACAACACATAATATTCTCCCACTACCAACGCCATCTATTGAATCAAAATAACAATGAAATTTCCTATCTTATAAGTATAAACTCTTCCTTAGAAAAGAGAGTATAAAAAGTCAATAGCGCTGCTATTAAAAAAAAAAAACATTTGTGACTACATTTTCTAACCAATCACCTAGGCAGGTCGAAAAAAAAAAATACATATTGATGAAATTTTATACGTAAAAAAATACTACCCATCAATATTTCAAAATATAATATCTGTATACCTACTGGAAATATTCAATCTACCAAAGATTTCCGGACCAAAATCTGTTCTTAGAAATTCGTCTATATATCAACGAAGTTATATTTTAATTGCGTTTTATTAAATATTTAGCACTTAGTAAATTTTCTGCAGTGTCAAATACATTAACCCTCAAAACTACAACATTGTAAACAAATGTAAAATAAATAGACCAACAATACTATCGGCACGAAATAGATTGTGTTATGAAATCTCTAAGTTCCTATATACATATTTTTTTTTTAATTAAATATAAATTATTTGCTTTATCATTCTCGCGATCATAGGGTTAAATATTACATCCTCATCTATTGTACTTTCCATTCCACATTCTCACACACACATTGTAACTTTTGAATGAGTATCTAAGTTCGGTATCTAAGTGTATCTTAAAAATCCATTTCCTCAACATTAAGTTACTAAGTTTATTGGAATGGTCTTTTTTATTTGTATTTCTCATTTGTGATGTTCTTTTTTACGCTCTCTATTTCTCTCTTCTTTTGTGTCTTCAATTTCCTTGTGAAAAAGTGGGTCACAAAGTATTATGTCTTTATAATAATGCGCCATTGCAGTGCTCGAGATGAGCAGGAATATAAATGATTGTGTGCAAAAGCTTAAAATATCCCCGAAGTGATAAAGTTATTAAATTTTTGGTTGATTGCATTATAAAATATGGTTATGAAATGGCTGTTCAGTATGTGTCAATTATGTGAGTGCACTTTTGAGGGATAATAAAATTATTGTTGGCAATCTTTTTTGAGCGATATAAAAAATGGGATATAAACATAAACGATGGATATAAAATCTGTGATGTTTTAGTGATATTACGACAAGTAACTATATTTAAATGTGAGAATCAAAGGGCTTTTGGAGTCCTATTTAAATATTAGCATATTAATAAAGAATTTAATACAGAATTTTAATTTTAAAACACTGCGAACCGAATTTGTTTGGGGTTAGAATTTTTCTTTAGGGAATGTAAATCCATGGGGAGCATATCAAGAATAGCGAAATATAGATTAAGGGTGAGTTGGACATTTGAGTTATGGCGTGGTGATTTTGCCCATATCTCGAAACTGATACCTCGACCCCGATTCACTACAAAGACATTAACTCAACATACTTTTAACGATTTTTAAGCCCTAATTTAGTCTTTGAAAATGTATATATAATAAAATAATCTGTGTTGCAACAATATACAAATATATTGATTCATTTTTGTAATCAATATAAAATGTTATTAGGCTGCTTTTAATGTATGTCCCCTTAATGATACCATTAAACACTCCAATTTTATTTAATGATATGGTAATGAGGACAAAATTCTTTGGAACCCCCCTTAATTTGTACTACAAATTATGGTCAAAATATATATATATATTTTTTTTTTCAAAATTATACCTTATACCTAACAGAAATTCATTGTTGAATTGTATATTTATAAATTGTATTTTTGGCTAAAATCCAAATTATTTAATCTAGAGCTTTGAAATTTGGCACAAAGGTTTACATTATATGCAGGTCGATTGGTAATGAAAATGGGCTATATGGGTTCAAATTTAGATATATCCCCCATATAACGGTTCCCCCGGATTTTCAGTATTTTGAAGGCTTCTGCCACAATTTCCAATCAAATTAGCTGAAGCTTGAAGTTTAGGGTTCTTGAACGGACTTGCGAAAACTATTCGATTAAGATCCACTAATTGTTATGGCCCCTATATAACGGTTCCCATCGATTTTCGGTATTTTGATGATTTTAGACACATTTTCCCTTTTTCCATTCAAGTTATTAATGCCTTGAGTTTTTTGGTGGTGTTTGTATTGACCTCACTCAATATTGCTAAAAGTGGGTTTTATGGAGCTTAAGGTCTATATTTTTCGAACATCTTAAAATTTTTATGTAGGTCAAGTGAGACTAAAAAATGTGTAGCAAAAGGGTATTAAAAGTACACTAATTCCTAAAATGTATTGACAGCTGCTTCTTTCTACGAAAATGATGTAGAACACTTCAGAAGCCTACTTTCGTTATTTAAAAAAAAAAATAATAATACGAATCAAAAGGCATACAGTAAAAAAGCACAGAAAAAATATAATATATTCTTTTATACCTGTCCAGACCGGCATGTAGTTTTTTGTAAAAAGTGTAAATTTTCTTCCCCAATTTGGCGGGAAAACATGGGCCAATTTCAAAAAAATCCCTAAATTCAACTTGCCAAAAATTACATTCATTTTTTTAAATTGAATTAGAAATCTTTTTAGAAAAAACCAGTAAAAAAAACAGTTAAGTACGGCCGAGCCGACTTTTATGGCCCTCCACAATTTGGAAAAAATTGAAAACTTTCAAAAAATCCGTCAAAAATACTGCTCAAATGGAAATTGTTACGAGGGGGCTATACTAAGATGTGGTCGTGGTCAAATATGAAATTTGAAATAATTCCATTAAATGTGAAACAATTCGGGTAAAAAATGTCGCTAAAATCAACAAAGACGCGATTTTTGCATATACGTGATTTTTGGTCATAGGCTGTAGTAGCCATTACAAACTTTAAATACAAAAATTGAAAAAATGTCGGTTAATAATGTCGCTTAAATCATTAAAATACCGACTATCGGTGGGTATCTTTATATGGGGGCTATACGAAGGTCTGGACCTACATAGACAATTTCCCGTCATAGGTTGCAGTATCCATTACGAATATCGAATACGAAATTTGAAGCAATTTTGATGAATAATGTCGCTAAAATCTTTGAAATATCGAATATGGGGAGTTATCGTGTGGGGGTTAAGCGAGAACGTGGACTGACATGGGTATAAAAACAACAATTATCAAAAATTCTCGAAAAAAATGGCGCGTGCTGAGTACGATGGTGTTGAGTCCTGTTTTGTATGCGGCCAAAATGTTTGCGTACCCAAGGCTTTAATACACGCTCCAGAATATTTTCGCGATAATATTCGGCATTTATTCTGATGCCATGATCGATTAATACGAGCGGAGAGCAACCATGGGCTGTTATGGCGGCCCACACTATCACCATGGCGGCGCTGCTGACTTCTAAACACAATCATTTTGTTTGTTTACAAACTGCTAAACAACGAACGTTTTTCATCGGAGAAAACCAAATTCGACAGTTCACAACTTTCGGCCAAGCGAAGCAACTTTTAGGTCTTTTGAGTCTATTTTTTTGTGTTTCGGTGTAAGTTCTTGCAATTTTCCGCTTCCTTGATGCTAGCAGTATCACGCTAACGAGTGATGGCACGGAACACAAACGATTTATTCAAATTTAAATGCTGAAGTGCTTTAACGATAACCACTTGGTTGGTGGTTTTAAAGCCAAATATAAAGAAATCACACTATCACGCTTGAATTCCATCACGAATAATTTTTTTTCTGGAAAATTCTCACCGAAATGCTTTTGTACGCTTGTAAGCAATATAATGAGCTGTCACTGGAATAATTTTAATAGCTGTCGGTTGAATGGCTCAGAAATAAGAGCAGTCTGAATTTGGTTGCAGTTTTTTCATCTCACCCTGTATATACTTTATGATCTCCGACGAAAATTTGGCGAAAGCGTTATGGCATATAGCGAAAAAATTATTAGGTTCGGAAGGTTCCCATTTTAATCAATTACATCCTTTCTTTTTGCAAATATCGAATTATGACAGCCTTGTCTATTTATCAGATTCAGTTAATTTTTCTCTTTTCTATTCATAGAAATTTAATTTATATTTAGAAATTTATTGAATATAAATCTCCAACTCTTTAACTAAATTATCACCCCAGAACCCATAAATTACTTTTAATCAAATCTTTTCTTAAATCCTTTCGAACTCTTGTTGCCAATTCAAATTTAAATCTATTATATTTCTCTTCTTTGGAATATTCGTTATTTATATTCAAACGAGGACTTTACAGGAAACACTTTCATAATCCCATGGCCTTAACTACTGTTGTCCCATATTTGTGTGTGCGTGTGTGTGTGTTTTGGAATCCTCTTGAGGAAAGAACTATTCATATTTCATATTTTGACACATTCCAAACACGAACCCAATGAATACAAATGCCACATAGATGAGACAACTATGGACAGGCGGCATAAATGTAAATATGTGCACAAATGTATGCACATGGAACTCTCTTTCACTCTCTCTCCGAAGGATAAGCACAGAAGGATATGGCAAAAACCAACAGTATGGTTTATGTGTGTGTGAGTAAAATGAAGATAGCTTTGGAAAAAATTCAATGAAAACTAAATCCAAATAAAAGACCAACACAACCATAAATACATATACACATTTGTATGTAGTATGTCTGTCGGTGGGTATATATTTCAATCATTTGTCATGTAATTTTATTAAAATGTCATCTCCTTTTTGCACGTTGCCCAATAGAGGATTTCCAACACTTTTGCCACACTAATCCGTTCAAAGAATGGACAGGGGAGGGGGAGATTTTTTCTTGAACTGATGCAAAGAAAACACCCAAGCTGGAGGGAATAAAGGACAAATGTCTTGCCCCCCCGAGAAACCCTTTTCAAAACAGGACTTTTAACACTTTATGAAGTAAAGCCAATTTACATTATTATGTTGCAGAGCGGAAGGGCAACTTGAAAAATATGTTATGGGTTTGGGTCAGGTTCCATTATGAGCATACTAATGAATATTAAAGTTGAAAATTTGGTATAACGAAAATCTCTGTTATACCACCTATCTGTTTACAAAGTTTTCCAAAAAAAACCCTATTGTTGTTATTGTATATAGTTTTTCTGCTTCTCTTTCTGTGCCGTTGTTGTTACTTACAAAAGGTTTAGCCGCATTGTTGTAGCCACATCCAATGTGTTGGGAATCTTGTTGTTTGTGGGCCAACGAAGTTTTTGTCACTGTTTGCAAATGGCTTTGGTTGGGTTGGGGTACATTTCCGGTCGGCTGAACATGTGGACGCCAGGTTGAACCACCTCTGCAGAAAGTGAAAAACACATATTTATTATTGAATGTTTTTTATTTGATTGGATAATTTTCTGGATGTTATTTGAAATTTTATCTTATTATTCAATTTCAACACCTCCGTATTCATTCGAAATTACTCACCTTTGAACTGTCATCACGAAATTGTTACCAGAACGCACAACAATATCTTGGGCTTCCTTGTGGCGTAGATTGAAAACATCGACATCGTTGATTTTGATCACAGCATCACCGGGCAAAAGACCGGCCTGTTCGGCAAGACTACCGCCATTGACCTGGAAAGGAAGAAATTTATTTGTAAATGATTTGTGTAATAATAATAATTTGATTAACATTTCTGCAGATCAATAAACAGACTATAATTTATAAAAATTTGCTATATGACCTCAATCAATAGTCAGAGGAGCCTTCGATGGTCATCTATAGGGGGAAGAACCTTAAAATGGGTTTCGAAAGAGAAAAGAGCCTTGAAAAGGCTTCTAAGGAGAGAAGGTAATTTAAAAGGCTTCAGTAGAGGGAAGGCCATTTAAGGGAAAAGGCAGTTAAAACTGGTTCAAAACAGAGAGGGCCCTTTAATTGGTCTTTTATAAGGTGGAGACCCTTTAATGAAGCGTCTTTAGAGAAAATACCCTTTAAAGGGCTTCTGCATAAGAAAGGTCTTCTAAAACGGTTTTATGGAGAATTTAAATAAAAAAAATCCCATAAATGGTTTCAATGGGTTGAAGGGCCTTAAAGGGATTTAAAGGGGCTTAAAGGAAGATAAGACACTTTAAAGGGTTTTTTACATATAAGATTCTTTAAAAAGATTGCATAGAGAAAACCCCGTTCAACGGCTTTCATATATAGAAACTCTTTTAGAAGGGCTTTTATGGAGAGAATACCCTTTAAGGTGAGAGGAGACATTTTAAAGAGAATATGTTTTAAATGGCTCTTATAGAGAGAAGACTCTTTAAAATGGCTCCGGTAGAGATAAGGCCCTTTAAAAGGGCTCCTATAGAAAGAAGACCCTTTAAAGGGCTCCTATGGACAGAAGACCATTAAAGCGATGAAATGGGATAAAAACCTTTAAAAGGGATACTAAAGAGAGAAGAGCCTTGAAAGATATTTTCTAGAGAAAAGATCCTTGAAAGGTCTTCTCTAGAGAGATGTCCCTTTAAAATAGCTTCTATTGAGAGAAGACTCTTTATAGGCTCCTATAGAAAGATCCTTTACAAGTCTCCTATGGAGCGAAACCTCTTTAAAGGGTTATTATGGAGGAATTATTATATTATGTAATGCCCTTTTTAAAGGGTTTCTACTGAAAGGGTTTCATAGAGATGACCCTTTCAAGGACTTCTATGGAGAGAAGAGTCTTTAAAGAGCTTCCATAGAGACTATGTCTTTAAAATAGGATTTTATGGAGAGAATACTCTTCAAACGGTTTTCTATAGAGAAAACACCTACTAACTTTTACAGACAGAATACCACTCTGGGCATTCTTTACAAAGAAGATCCATTAAAGGCTTTATTAATGAAGATATAAGAAAGAACTTATAAAGATCTTGATCTTATCGGGGAAGGTCTTCTTAAGAGGGAGAAACCACCTAAAAGACATTATTTTAAAGAGAAGGCTCTTTATAGGTCTCTTATAGGAAGGTAACCATTTGGAAGTCTACTACATAGACAATACCCTTTAAAAACCTTCTGTAGAGAAATTAGCCTTTAGAGATCATCAATAGAGAGAATAGCTTTTTAGAGCATTTTGTAGAGAGAACAATATTTAAATCTTTTCTGGCGTATAGAAAGAGGGTGCTTAAACTTTTTTTTTAAATAAGTTCCTTAATAGGCTGGGACCTTTTAAGCTTTCCTATTGAGGCAAACTCCTCTTCCATGGTGGGAGAGCCCTTCAAAGGTCTTCCGTGCTGTAAAAAGAGTCTTCAATGGTGCTAAGCCCATGTTAAAAGTGTCCTTAAAATATTTTTTCTATTATTAAAAACTCTTAGTAAGAAGACCCTATATTTGAAAGACCCTTTAAGGGTTTTCAATTTTTTTAAATGCCTCTATGGAGGTTCAAATTTTGTTTATATACTTTTATAATTCCAGCATGATTTAAAAGTTTCCCCCTTTCCCTCAAAAAGGAAAAAAAAACCACCAACATCCCTCGAAACAACCATAAATTTAGCCACTGCAATGCTTTAGTCACTGCCAATATTTACAATGGCTGTCAAAACGTTAACAATTCAATTATGTTTTGCATAAATCACAGGTCATTTGATCGACCGGCTTAGCTAAGGCCGAACAAACAAACAAACATGCAACAAAATCGACCAACAAAAAAAAAACCCGTGCCAGAACCATGGGGTATGTGGACAAAACGATTTACTGGTGGAAACAAAGAATACTGGACCACCAGCAGGCTATTGTAGAGAAAGAATATAGAAATAAAAAAAAATCGCTGCTAAAACAATGGACAAATTTCGGAATGCAAACAGCTTTGAAATTGGGCTTTGTTTTTGGTGCGTTTGATTGCCGTGTGTGGTGTATGGTGTTTTTTTTCATATCAGCCATTAAAGGTCCTCTGCGAAAAATCAAACCAATTGCGGTTCACCATTTTGGAACAAAGTGTTTTTTTTTTTTTTTCGTTGGGATGGCGTTTGCCAGACCACATAGCAAAAGTTGTCATGGTTGCACATTGCAAAGGTCCTAGCTCGAACTAAAAATCTAAACAAATCGTTAGGCCAGCAACAATCAGGCAAGCAAACAAACAATGCCAACCAACCAATGCAACAAACCGACCTTACCAACAATACAAAGTCACAAATGAATTTATTATTGCCGAAATGTAGAGGAGCAACAAACAAATAGTGAGAAAAAAAAAACAATAGATGTAGTGCCTACAACAAAACAATTATGGATCTAAAATAAAAACAACAACATCGGGGACTATTGATATTGGCGAATTTGGTTCGTTCTATTGTGCTGTGATTTGTAGTCATTGTTGTCCGTTGAGCGGCCACGATTTCTAACACCAACCCTAACACTCGCCAGTCATCAACATCAATGTCAGACAAATTTACAGAATATCCAGTAAACAATTTTGGAACTTTTACAATTCTTCTACTGTATAAATCTAAAGGAAAATCGTGAAAGGATAATACTCACAAGCAGTGTCCGTCATGGTATGGCCTCTGTCGGGCTCAAGATAGACAATATCTATTCTGGTTTATAAACTACTCCTTACTCCTTCTGGTTTATAAAAGTTTAAAATTTAGGAGATTGCCTATATAAATATAAACAGTAGGGAAATGTTCCAAACTTGGCACATGGTAGTAATTGTAACGGACTTAGGTAAGGTACGAAAACAAAGAGTATAGTGCGAATTTTGAATAACAATAATTTTTTAAAAGTTCGTACATTTCAATAATTTTGAGATATGTGATAAGTTTTAGAAAATGTTAAAACGTGCGTGAGGTGGTACCAGTTATAGTTGACCGAAGCATTACATTTTCATACTTCATCTAATACACATAAAAATATTTGTATGGCCAGCATTTCAAAAAAATCGAACATTTAAATCCAATTTTATGCGAAATCATAAATTCCATATTCATCGCGGTTTTTTTGCTTTGGGAGAAATATTTAGATATAGGAAGTTATAAAGAATCGCTAACATATAAAAGTATTGCAAATTGTGACCATATGTGAGTGAGATACCAGAAGGGGTTCTCAAATATATAACATCTTCGCAAAAGATCATGTGTTAGCAAAAATGTTTGTGTGTGTGTGAAATTTCGAAGAGAGTTGGAGTTGGAAATTTTGAAGAGAGTTGGATGCTTATTTCGCTCTTTTTTTGAGCGCTTTGTTTTTAAAATCTTGAACCCTATGTGGGGAGTTACCAGAAGAAATGGTCCAATATTTACCATCTTTTAACAGATCTTGTGTTTACGGAAATATTGAGATGTACCAAGTCTGAATGGAATCGGATGTAAATTTCGCGTTTAAGGAGCTTCATGGATATTCAAAATGTTGACTCTTTGTGGGGAAGGTACCGGGGAAGTGGACTGATATATTCCATCTTGACAACAGATCTTGTGTTAGTAGAAATAAAGGGATGTGTGAAATATGAAGAGAACAGGATGCTCGTTTCGGATTTTATAATCGTTTTGGTTATTCAAAACTTTCACCCCTTGTGGTGGGGGTACCAGAAGAAATGGTTAGATCTCTACTATCTTTATAATAGATCTTGTGTTGATAAAAATATTGAGATTTGCTAAACCTAAATGGAATCTAATATCAATTTCGCTTTTTATGAGCTTCATGGATATTCAAATTGTGACCGTACCAGCAGGTGTAGATCTACATATTCCATCTTCACACCAGACCTTGGGTTTATAAAAATATTGTTATTCGTGTCATTTGAAAAAAAAAACTTGGTGGAGTGGATCGACATTCTTTTGTGGGGGAGGTACCAGAAGATATGGACCGATTTTACCCATCTCCGAACTCAATCTAATTTTGCTAATAATATTGCAATGTACCAAGTTTGGACTAAATCGGAGAATCCTTTCAAGAGTTATCGTGCGCACCAATCAGACAGACGGATGGACATCGCTAGATAAACTCCTGAAATTGATTTGTTCAAAGAGACCTAGGGTCTAAACCCGTTATTTCGATGAGGCACGTTTTAGCCACATGGCTGAGGGTATAAACAATAAATACTTGAAATACTTCATTTTTATTAACTACCCTGAAAAAAAAAAAAAAACTTTTTCGAACAATCTCCTGACCAAAAATCCTATCAGACAGACCGACTGACATCCCTAGATCGACTCCAAATGTCCTGAAACTGATTTGTTCCAAAGAGACCTAGGGTCTAAAACCGTTATTTCGATGAGGCACGTTGTAGCCATATTGCTGAGGGTATAAAAAATGCAAAATTTATATAATTTTATAAATACTATATTTTTAATAACTACCCTGAAAAAAACTTTTTTAAAGAATCTCCTGACCAAAAATCACCCTATTTTAATAAAAATTTACGGATTTCCTTGTATTAAGTCTTGTTGTTTTAGGATTTGTTTAAAAGAATTCGTAACAATTTTAATCAAAAGTCAACTTTTTACAAAAGAAATTAAAACAAACACAAATTATAAAGGATATCCTGGCAAAAGACAAACCTTCTGGCCTAATTGTTGATGTTTTTAAAAATTTTAAGATTTCCGAATACAACAGAAATATATTTATTAGGTCTTCATAAAAAAACAAAACCCTTGATTTTTAAAGAAATTTTGATTTT